GTGGCTTCCAAACGAAATGAAAACAGAATACACTGATCTTTAGGGACATCTAAATTATTCAAAATACGAGATTTTCATATCTAATCTACTATCTTATTTTACTGGGTTTTAAATTTACTTTCATCTCTCATTATTAGACTGCAGTTTCTTTGAATAACAATACAAGGTCTTGGATATGATTTGCAATTCATGGAGGGATAGCACTGAAGTATGGTGTAGGAATACTACCAATCCTTTTCTTTAATTCCACAGTTCTATGTGAGCTGTGGCTTCTACTCAAGTATCTAATCACAGGAAAAAAATAATTTGCATGCATTTAGGCATTAGTGATGATGCCACAGCTCACATGTGGTTACCAACAAGGCATCATGGTATTTCAGAATTGGCCCATTATAATCATATGTACCAGTGGGATCCTGGGATCCATCAGTGGAAGGCACTCATGTTCATGGATGTTTCCCATATTCTCCTTTCCCTAGCAATCCTTTCAGATTCCAGTAATCAATAGCTCTACTTCTGAACAATGGCCTCAGAGTATGGATCAAAAAAATACACACAATGGGGCTATGTACAGAGCAGAAAAATGTTTCTGCAAACTTGGGGGAACCCAGGTTTGTTTGTTTTTAAACACAAAATAAAAAACAAAAACAAAGGAAAAAACAGCTTGTGATGTGAGATCTCAGTCACCATTTGGGCAGCAGGTAGCATAATTTGGGTGAAAATTGCTAGGGTTGGCAGGGGTTAATGTGGAAAAAGCTGCATGGGCAGGGGGAGAGAGAGGGCAGGCCAAGTAGGCCCATGGGGAGGGAAGGAAGAAGTATAGCAATGGCAATAGGTCAAAGCTGAAAAGAAATTGGAAGGGCAACAAGTCAGAGGCAGATAGCAATTGAGGCACTGCTTTCACATTTTTTCCACAGCTGCTGACCCCGCCAAGTAGAGATGGTGAGCAAGCAGTAATGGCAAAAAATGTTACATTTCTAGCGCCAAGAAATTTAAAATCTACACAAAGAATATAGCAAAGGTATAAACAGGGGAGAATTCAGTTAAAGGTAAAGGTTCCCTTGCTCGAAAGCCAGTCGAATCCGACTCTAGGGTTGCGGTGCTCATCTCCGTTTCAAAGCTGAAGAGCCAGCGCTGTCCGAAGACGTTTCCGTGGTCATGTGGCTGGCATGACTAAACACCAAGGCACACGGAACGCTGTTACCTTCCCACCGAAATGGTACCTATTTATCTACTTGCAATTTCTTGCTTTCGAACTGCTAGGTTGGCAGGAGCTGGAACTAGAGACAGGAGCTCATCCCGTCTTGCGGCACCCGGGTCTTGAACTGCTGAACTACTGACCTTCCACAGCCTGCAGTTCAGCGTCTTAACCACTTGAGCCACCGCAGCTCCAGAATTCAGTTACTTGTACATATAGTTGGTTTCAGTAAGGCATGAAGACTTAAGAGTTATGTCAAAGGCATTAGGTTTTAAGGAGGGAGTTATAAGTGGCAAATACAGTTATACTTGATCCCATGTCACAGATTCAGACTGCCTGAAGAGCCTTAACCATCACTTTTCTTCTTTCTCCTGCATTTGTATAATAAACCACAAACATAAACCATAGAGGAAATAATCTATATATCTAATAGCCAAGGGTCCCTCTTTGTGCGGATACTTATTTCCACAGAACAAGGGCACCTGGAGGCTAAAGAGGTTTTTCTGCACACATGGAGTACTCTCCAAGGTTGCAGAAAAATGCAAAAAGTTTTTAAAAATACACAGGGAGGGTTAAACCCCCCCAAAAATTTAAAAAACCAACCCTGAGTTGTCTGCACTTGCGCAGTCCGAACTCGTGGTTCCTCGCACCAGACTTGGAGCTTTGCTCACTGGTCGGCCTCCCCGCAGCCAGCAAAACAGCCTTGGAGTAATGGGGCAGGGAATGCCAACGTCGCCGGGTCCTTCCCAGGCAGCTGGCCTCCCCACCACCAGCAAGGCAGCCCTGAAGCCGTGGGGCAGAAGATGCCGCCACCAGATCCCTCCCAGGCGAGTGGCCTCCCCACTGCCAGAAAAACAAGAAAGCTGCAGAAAAGGAGGCCGAAGGGGGGGGGGAGAGAAATAGGAGAGAGAAAAAGAGGGGGGAAAGAGGACATTGTCTGAGAAGGGTTGGGGTAAGAGAGGGGTTTGACATACAAGTGGTGAGTGAAGAAAGGGGGTGAGAAAGAATTCCTAGAGAAAGGGGTAGGGAGGAAAGCTAACATGGAAGGGATGAGAGGGGGAGGTGAGGGAAGATTGATAGATAAGGGGTGAGTTCAGAAAGACAGGAGGGAACTTTGACAGAGAAGGGGGGAAAGGGAAGCAAAGGTGGGGGAAATGCCCCCTTCCCGCAAGTTTCTTGTGGGTCTCTCCTTGTAATATCCTACTCTGCAACTCATTTTTAAAGGGAAGCCACTGTGGGGAAGGAATTTTGGATAGTTGTCCAAGACCATTCCACTCTGCCCACCCGACCTTATCTTGCCTCAGATTTGAAAACCGAGAAGCCAAATGGTGTTCCTTGCAAGGGCCATAGTGTTGATCCCTATATAAGATTCTGAAAGCATTATGTAGCTGTTAAAACAGAACCAGCATAAACAAATAAATGTCAAATGAAGCTTTAGATTTATGTTGATGATGAGACACATTCTTAAGAATGTCCACTTGTATCTATTAAGAATAACATTCTTAAGGGCTGGATCCCATGGAAATCTTCCTCCAGCACAAAAATCCTTCTCCTATCACGACAAGCCTCCTTGAATTGGAGTGAAGTTCTGCAGGATCCAATCCACTGCATTTGCTATTATTTGTTACTCTAAGAGGTTACTGTTATGGTTCTCGAAGCAGGGGAGAGAGATCCATCATGCTAGCCTGCAAGATTCCGCCTTCTGCATTCACAACAAGGCATATAGCTATCAAGGACTGCTAAGCTCCTATCACTGATCAATGACAGAAATCAGGGGACTTCTTGTTTACTTACTGGTGACTATCCCCACTCTTCAATTATCTATCACATCCTGACATATAGGGCTGCTGGAATGCCATACACATTTCCATAAAAAGTTTATGGGCTGCTAAATGCCTGTATAGAAGGGTCCTTAACTTGCCAAGGGGGCTGATCAGGGAAGATGCATGCAGCTGTTCTTGTCTGGCTCCTAGATGCTCAAGCACGTAGAGACTCCTGGGGCACTGGAAAGGGGCTGAATCATGCCCACTGCCTTCAACAAAGTCCTGAACATTCATTTCAAATTGTTCCATACAAATACACATTTAAAATCCTTCCCAGACTTGGTGACATGGTTCAGAGACGATTTTGAACACCACACATCCATAGACAAGTTTGAGTACTGGCAACTGCTTGTTATGTATTCACTTCCATGTGAGAAAATGCAGTAAGTTTAGTAAGGTCCAAGGTTCCACAGGCAGGACTGACTATAGCAAGCCCTACCACATCCAATGGAAGGATTTCTGTAAAATTCCTTGGGGCATGGTGTCCCCAATAATTAAGCAATAGGGAACTCCTCAGCTGTAGCTGATGAAACATTGCCTGCAAAAGTGTTTTCTTAAACACTGAGTGAAACAAAGAGAATGGCACAGTAAAGATTAAAATGAGTAAACAAGCTGTTTTCAATAAAAGTTGCATTCTTCCTGTAATGATCCAATAAGCTAAAACTTGAGAATTAGCTAAGACTGTAGAGGATTATAGAATGTTTCCTTCATTACTGTAAAAAGAAGGGGGTGTTATAGACTTCATCTTTGTGGGACAACACAGATCACAGATAGTTCCTGTGTTCACTAGTTAAAAACAAAGTAACACTTTCTCAACACAAAACGTTCTTTGTATGGGATTATGAATGGAAATTATTATTTTCAAGAAGCACGTAGACTCTTGGGTAATAGTCACAACTGAAGGAATATGTCTTTGGCAAGAGGCAGAAGAAGAGATGAACAGAAACAGATGTATGATGTCTAAGAATGGACAACAAAGATTGGACAGCATAGAAGAACAAAAAGCAAAAGAACTATGAATACACATTATAAAATACACTAAACATTGTGAAGAGGATATTTCAGATCTGTTCTATTAAGAGTTTTGCAATCATGTTCACGTTGACAACGATTATATTAAATACAAATGTTCGTTTTTAACTTTAAACACACCTACATGGTTATATCGGAGCTGCGGTGGCTCAAGTGGTTAAGACGCTGAACTGCAGGCTGTGGAAGGTCGGTAGTTCAGCAGTTCGAGACCCGAGTGTGCCGTATGACGGAGTGAGCTCCCGTCTCTAGTTCCAGCTCCTGCCAACCTAGCAGTTCGAAAGCAAGAAATTGCAAGTAGATAAATAGGTACCACTTCGGTGGGAAGGTAACAGCGTTCCGTGCACCTTGGTGTTTAGTCATGCCGGCCACATGACCACGGAAACGTCTTCGGACAGCGCTGGCTCTTCGGCTTTGAAACGGAGATGAGCACCGCAACCCTAGAGTCGGATTCGACTGGCTTTCGAGCAAGGGAACCTTTACCTTTACCTTTACATGGTTATATCCACTCTAAAACAAGGATTATCTGACCAATTACCAAAGCAATTTTAGAACCTGTTCTTTGTTTGTATCTTTTCTATTTTTTCCTAGAAGAAACTGGCATGATTATGTGTGTTTGTACTACAAAAATATTCCACAGATTTTATTTAGTACCACATGGCCTGCATCATTTATTTTTTTACTAATCATTCCTTACATCTGATATGTTCATCTCACAACCCTAATCTGGTCTTCAGTCTGTCCTATGTGCTTTAATTTTGAAATGAAAATAAAATGACATGCTCTAATACAAATGAATAATTTACACTTCATTTTATACCATAGTCTTATGATATAAAATATGAACATATAACAGTAAGGTGTACAAGTACAGCTTATATAATGATCATTAAAAATAACTGTCTAAAGTATACAATAGTAATTTTGAGAAAAGAAAGCTTGTATCCTACCTGGACCAAGCAGCGAGGACCGGGATGACTGGGCACTTGACTGGTGCAGTGGCTGAGGTTCAGCCAGGTTTGCGTTGATAATCGTGGTGCTAGTGGTGGTGGCTGTGGTACTGCTCTGTATTACAGGATTGTTTCTATCCCACATATTTACAGTCTTGTTGTTATTGTAATTTGGGTCACCCCAAGCTGAGGTACCATCATCAATCTCCATCTTGCGCCGAATGGATGGTGGAGAGGGCTCTTCCCACCCAGTTGCTTCACTACTGTCCTTCTGTTTGGTTGGCACTGGCCCACCAACCCATCCTGATCCAGTCTGTTTAACAGAAGCCGCTCCTCCCCAATTACTCCCATTGTTGTCCTGGGATTTAGAAGCCCAGTTCTGTTGGGGAGCAGGTTTCAAAGATTCTCCCCAGTTTGTACCAGTATTAGCCTTGCTGTTTGTGCCATTTCCCCATCCACTGGTCCCAGAACGTGTAGTATCATTCCAACCAGACCCTGATCTATTGTCAGTATCCCATCCAGACCCATTTTTTTTCCCATCTCCCAAGTGTCCAGGGACAGATGAGGAATCAACCCATTCTCCACCCCCTGAAGTCCAGCCTGGATTTGATTTTTGTCCATCTCCCCAATTTTGAGATTTGGGTTTCTGAGGTTCACTCCAAGTTGGTGACTTGTCCTCCTGATTTGTGGTCCCACTCCAAGTGTGGCCACTTTTGGCAGCAGCAGCAGCATTATTGACAGCAGTAGAACCTGCTGGCTCTCCCCATCCCCCAGGGCCATTTGGCGCTTTGTTATTGTTGTCGCCCCAACCTGTATTAGTTGTAACTGTTGCAGGTGGAGAGCTGACCCACCCAGATACTGAAGAGGTATTTGTACTGTTCATGATGGACGCATCATTCTTGCCCCCCAAATTTGAAGGCTGAGTAGCTGTACAACCCCAAGCCTCAGTTCCGTTGTCATTCTTTCGTTCAGATCTTGGAGATTCTTCAAATTCCCAGGCAGTGTTTTGTTTTACAGGAGTCTGTCCCCACCCAGTGTTGGACAGAACTCTTGGGTCAAGGTCATTCCTTGGCAACTGGACTTGCCCTTGGTCTACCATACCCTTCTCTCTTCTTCGACTCTCTCCAGCTCCCTCCCTCCCAGTACTGCCTTCATTTTGACTTCCATTGCTATCATTACTTCCTTCACTACCTGTATTGCCAGATGCTGCAGCTTTGGCCCAAGAGTTTATTTGTTCATTGCCCTGCTGCATGGCAGGATTCTGGCTGGTAACAGTAGAGCTATCCCACCCTGTTGATCCTTTCCCATTGATGTCATTATTGGAATGCTGGTTTGGGGGCTTGCTCCATTCACCATTAACACTGTTACTGGTACTGCGGCTTGGGTGACCCCAAGCACCAGAATGCATATTACCAACACCACTGTTGCCACTGCCCCTGCCCCATGCTAAGACTCCAGAACCAGCAGGAGGACCTGAATCCCAAGCACTTGTTCCATTTCCTTCCTTTTGCACAGCACTGCTGGATCCATTTTGTTTAGCACTTAATGCTGAGTTCACAGTGTCTCCATTCCCCTGACTGAACCCAGAATTGCTGTTTCCTGTGGCAGGATTTCCTGGGGATATTCCCCATACTGAATTGCCCATTCCTTCACCACTTCCCCCACTGACTTGAGAAACTGATGTCCCATTAGCACCAGGAAGGCTTTGCAGGTGGGGCGGGATGATGGCCCCCATGCCAACAGCCATGCCCCAGTTTGGCAGTCCATTTGTCTGCATTGCATTGATAGGGTTTGGTGAAGAATTCATGGGGTTAGCGTTATTTGGTCCATCAGTGTTAAGGTTCTGAGGTTGTACGCTGAAAGACACATTCTGAGAAGTGGACGTTTGTGGTTCTGTGCTCTCTTGCGGCAGCAAGTTTCCCCAAGCACCTAAGGTGCCCACTGGGTTCCCATTCTGGTTGCCCATGTTCTGACCTATGGCACTGACTGGACTGCAAATACCAGAAGGGTTGCCTGTTCCCACAGTTCCTTCATGTCCAAGTACAGGCCAAGCAGCTGGATTGGCATTGGGATTAAGGTTAAGATTAATGCCAGCATTTGAGTTGGAAGCACCCCAGCAGTTTTGACTTCTACCATCTCCCATCATGTTGTCCATCTTTCCATCCCCACCACTGGCTGAGCAATGAGCTAAGCCAGAGTTGGAACCTGTGGCAACACCCCACACTCTGGCTGCATTTCCGTTTCCATTTGCTCCACCAGCTCCAAGGGCACTCTGGATAGAAGTGCTTTGGATGAGTGCTCCATTGGCGCCATTATTGCCATTAGGTTTCTTTGTATGTCCAGTGAAGTTGCCTTGGGCACTCCCTGTAGCCATGCTACTGTTCTCTGAGCCACAGTTGGAGGCAGAGTCAGTGTCTGTAGTACATTCTGAGGCAGACTCAGTCTCAGTTCCTGTAATGGAAGGCCACGCTTCCTTGTCAGTCCTGTCTATTATCACTTTATCCCAGCTGCAATTGGCTTCACTTCGGAAAGTGGGCTGCTGTCCCCAGTGAGTATTCTCATAATGGTCTCCCAATCCGCTGTGACCAAGGTCTGAAAAATTAAACATGATGTAAATTAGTCTGCTGTTGACCCAAAGACATCAGTCGCACTCTTGGCTTGATTGTTATGCTTACATTCTTTAAAGCACGCCCTCCTTTTCCAGCCTCATTTATGGATGTGATGCTGGGGGGGAAATCTAGCCCATACTGAGCCCTTGACTTATGAGCTACACAAATGCCACTGAAATTATGAATTTAAAATTATAATAGTTTTCAGAACTTAGAATTTAGTTATGTTTCATATATCACCAATATTACAGTCTCACGCAGTGACCTCCACCTTCTCCCCTACATTCATGATTTCCCCCCCATGTATTTTTTAGATTAAACCAATAGGATTGATTCTGGAAGTGACACAGTAGAGTGTAATATATGCTCAAACATTTCCCCATATGCAACAGAAATTTTAAACCAAATTCTAAATCAGTTTTCTTTCAGAACAGACCAAAAGCACAACTATATCTGTTGAAATAGCACTAAATTATAATTTTGAACACATGATTCTACAAAACTTTTCTGCTAATGACTGGGCTTTCCTCCAGTGCAAGAGGTATTTCCACTGGTACAAGGCTCCTTAAGGCCGAAGGAAGATGTTGCCATTAGCAGAAAAGTTCTGAAAGTTCCAATCCAGTATATTTTAAATTAACCTATTCTATTCTGAACACAGGAGAGCAGGCTGGGACTCATCTGTGCCTTGCTACACTCAGAAACAGAAACAAAAAAGTTTCATTGACAGGACTGCCTTCCAAAATTAGACACAGTATCCAAACACCAAGTAATTTTTTGTTACAAGTATTTCTACTGTAAATGAAACTTTGAGAAGATGCTAGTACTTGCTGCTTACAAACTATCCCTTCAGCACAGAAGGTGAAGCTAATACACCCTGCTATGGCAAGGGAGCAAGTTGTCCTGCACCAGATCCTATCCACTATTTCACCATAGAGCAGAGACAGGATTAGGCTGTTAACTAGAAACTATAGGATGCAGTAGAAAGAACCACTGGGAGACAGCTTCAGGACTGAGGCCTGTCATCTGCCAGAAGTGTTCATGAAAACTAAAACATGTTATTGTAAAAAGGGGGGGGACTAGACAGGTTCTAACAAAGATGATTACTAATGTTTTGTTCTATAAAAGCAATAGCCATTAAATAAAACAATGTAAGCTACTTTGGGTCCCCACTGGGGAGACAGGAAGAATATAAATGAAGTAAATAAATATATAAAGGCAAGTCCAACTGTAGGTTTCTGTAACCTGAGCTCTGATATTGTGATAAAATGTCTGGATTCTAAATAGGAAAAACAATAGAGTCCGTTCCCCAAATAAGAAGTTATCAATAACTTGATTGAATATTTCAACAAACCCCCAAAGTTGTTATCACAATCAATGTTTTGAATGGTCAACTAACATGCTGAAGGTATAGTCTTATTATGAAATAAAGTGTGGACATTTGCTTCAATCAGTGATATGCAGGATGGGTTAAGCCTGCCAGGATATGTGTAACATTAACAGACACTGCTTGATTCCATCTGCACTTACATGCTGAGGTCAAAACAAATGTGATAACTTTCGCATTTGCAAGCATCCTGGCAGGCAACTTTTTCCACAGTATTTGTTTCTTTCATATCACTAGCTGGAATAATTATTTGTGAGTTAAAAATTCTGTTTACATGATCTACTGTAAGTTTGCTCCAACAAGAACACTGACTACATAAATGCTTAAGGCTGTCAGACTATGCCACAAAGGAATATGCAAATATGGAAGAGTTAAGAGAGAACACTTAAAATACAGCTGCTTTATTTACAGACAAAATCCAAAATTAGATAACACGAGTGGAAAAGGTTATTGCTCTTTTTAAATTTTCTTCACTACAGTATGAAACCAAGTATGTTCCCTCTGCTGTAGGAACATTTAATGCATTCAGAAAAACAGCTGATCGGCATTAAAAAACAGCATTCTTAATTATTAGTGAGCACTCAGTAAAATAGGAATACTCCAAAACCAAACAGCAGTAGAGAAAGATAAATAAACTTCATTTTTCTGCCCTGCGTAATATATCTTTAGCAAGCAGCTCCTTCTCTGAGGACGCCATTTTATCAAACCTGAAAGGCAGCCAAAAGCTTAGGACGCTGTGCTGCTGCTGTTGATGTCTCTGAAACATTATGTAATAAACTGATTTAACAGAAGCATATACTATTTGTCCTCTTTTTCCTCGCTGGCTGCTCTAACGGAGCCAACAAGTAATGAAATACCTGAGGAAAGGTGTCGCCCAACCATCCTAGGAGACGCTACATTGTGTGCAGAGCTGTCTCCCCTCCTGCATCTAGGTTCGCTTAGGCTCTCGGCTTCAATATGTCGGCTGTTTACAGAGTGAGCCTCATCATGTAGAGCTGCCAAGAAAATCGCTCAGTGCAAGTGTGCACCCAGAAAACCTGCAAGCTCACTCGGGCCTTAGCTGTGCCGGCTTTGGAAATGCCCTTTCCACACAGGGAGACTCCTCCACCCTCCTGCCCCCACCTCCAGCAGCACACAGCCCCCTTAACTCTGGATAAGGTATCAACACACAAAGATTTTAAAGCTTTGATTATCTAATTGCAGCTGACACTAAACCGATCTTCCTTCCTCTTTAAATTCTTTCAACTGTCACAAAACATTTTCACTTTGAGACGTAGCCACATGCTAATCATGGTGGCTGCTTTTCTTCGGGTTTTTGAAAGTCAGCCAAAAGAACAGCCACACATTGCCGATTGGCCGCATGCAAATAAATTCCTGCCTCCTTCATGTCTCCGTCCTTCTCTTCCCATCTCTGAACAGAAGTGCTGTAACTTGGCATACCAGTACTAAATACAATAAAAGGAACAAACCTTATATGGAAGGTGGCAAGCAACCAGGTACTTAATTATTTCTATACTGAGAAAGCTGAAAATATAAGACCCTTTAAAAACACAGCCCCTGTTTATGAGCATGCAGAACTGTTACCCATGCAGACAGCAGAGTTTTCACTTCCTGGTAGAGAAGGAACTTTAACTGCAGGTTAAAATGCATTTTTAGACTCCCTTGGTATTCTGAACACAACTTGTAATTTTTTAGTATAAAGTTGTGAATTATAGAGCCACAACCATATCAAGGCACTATGAAACTTTTCAAATGCACTATCAACAGAGTTACTGGTATTTATCACTAAGAATATATTTGTCATATCACTTTGCTGCTGATTTATACCTGAAACTACTAGTGGAAAGATTTCTGTCATTCTAGAACATGGTTGCCATATATTCTATTCCCCCCAAAGACGCTACCCTGCACTGTTAACAGTACAGGATGACAGACAAAAAATTAAGTTGTACAGCTCTTCCCATTACTTCATCATGATGATGAGAAAAACAAGGCCTAAACAACAACACTGACCTGTTGTGACCCACCCTGAGCCCGCTAGCAGGGGAGGGTGGGATTTATTTATTTATTTATTATTTATTTGTAGTATTTTTATCCCGCCCTTCCCACAAGCAGGCTCAGGGCAGCTTACATTACTTGGCACAATGTACCAAGTACATATAAAACAATTAAAACCATTTAAAACAATCAGACCAATTCACAATTTACAATTTAAAGTGCTCACAGTGTTATTAACTCAAGATGGCGTACCATACAGTGTGGCATCCACATACCCAGCTCAGCGGTCTCCCAACATATCAAGTTGATATGGCTCACTTTCAGCTACAGCCAGCCCAACACCCTGGATGTTAATAATGAACGTTGATGGTAGTGGTGGGCGGCTCCTAATTGAAGGCCTGGTGGAAGAGCTCCATCTTGCAGGCCCTGCAGAATTGCAGAAGATCCCGCAAGGCCCTGATCTCCTCCGGAAGCTCATTCCACAAGTAAGGAGCCGCCACAGAAAAGGCTCTGGCCCTGTTGACAGTGAGCCTGGCCTCCTTGGGCCTGGGATAACTAGTCGATGTTGCAACACCGACCGTAGTGCTCTCTGGGATATGTATGGGGAAAGGCGGTCCCTCAGGTATGTCGGACCCTGGCCATATAGGGCTTTAAAGGTAAGTACCAGCACCTTGAAGCGAATCCGGTACACTATTGGTAGCCAGTGCAGTGCCTTCAGCACAGGCCGGATGTGCTCCCATCTAGGGATACACATCAGCAGCCTGGCAGCAGCATTCTGCACTAGCTGCAGCCTCCGGGTTTGGGCCAAGGGCAGCCCAATGTAGAGAGCATTGCAGTAGTCTAATCTTGAGGTGACCATCACATGGATCACTGTGGCCAGGTTGTCGCGATCGAGGTAGGGGGCCAACTGCCGAACCAGCTGAAGATGGTAGAAGGCCGACTTAGCAGTGGCTGCAACCTGGGCCTCCATCATCAAGGAGGGATCCAGGAGCACTCCCAGGCTCCTAACCCCCGGTGCCAGCACCAATGGAGCCCCATCAAAAGCCAGGAGCGGGAGCCCCAAACCCGAATTGCCCCCAACTCAGGCACAGGACCTCCGTCTTTGCCGGATTTAGCTTCAGCCAACTCTGCCTGAGCCAACCAGCCACGGTGTGCAATGCCCGGTCCAGATCTTCTAGTCTGGAGCCCAACTGGCTGCCCAACATCAGATAGAGCTGAGTATCATCAGCGTACTGATGACAGCCCAGACCATACCTCCGGGCTATCTGAGCAAGGGGGCGTATATAGATGTTAAAAAGCATCGGGGACAGCACCGCCCCCTGAGGCACTCCGCACTCAAGTGGGTGCCTCCAGGACTGCTGTTCCCCTAGCACCACCCTCTGTCCCCGGCCTCGGAGAAAGGAAGCAAGCCACTGCAAGGCAAGACCCTGTATCTCTACATCGGCAAGGCGGCAGGTCAGCAGCTGGTGGTCGACCGTGTCAAACGCAGCTGAGAGGTCTAACAGCAACAGCACTGCCGAGCTGCCTTGATCCAGGTGTCTCCGGAGGTCGTCAGTAAGGACGACCAGTGCTGTCTCCTTCCTGTATCCTGGGTGAAAGCC